AAAGAGTGACCTCAAAATCTGGTGGCGTCCTCTTCGAAAAAGTGCTGATTTTGCGAACAGAGTTACCCTGCGTGTGTGAAAAACAATAAAAGTGAAACTAACAAACTGTGCTATTCCTATTCTTTTTCTAGAGAAACGAAAGAGAGCTTCAAATGACTGTAGCGTCATTTGAACCAAAGAGCGGACTTTCGCGGACACTTTTTTGGCCGAGCGAACCATTTGTTAAGAACGATCTGACAGCGGTTAAAACAAGGTAAACAGAAATCTCTCTTTTCAATCTTCTCCACTCTTTGCATACGCGTCTAAAAAACTGGATTACCAACTAAATCTAAAAGCTCTTTTATGAAGGTCACCTCAAAATAACGTTCCGACACGATTTCTTTAATGATTTCCGAAATTGGATTTCTAAAAAAACAGTAATAAAGGATTTACAGCATGCACCTAGTTAAATATTAAAAAGTTGACAAATTTTCCTCAGCACCACACTTTCACGTACAGAAAAAAATATAATCATAATAATAAACGATTCAAGAGACAAAGTGAGCACATTGTAGGTAATTTTCTAAACAGAGCATGACGATGTGGAGAAGTTTAATCAGCCGTAGGATACAAAGTACAAGTTCACACTGACATGTTGGGGGCAAGGTGGTGTTGTTTTCTCAAAAAAGCACTTCTATAAAGTGTTTATATTAGAACTCAATACAAACAGCTTTTTCTGCAGTTTGGATGGTACGCAACTACGAAAAGTGATGCTTTTTGGTAAGTGTTTTACGGCACTCGCAACTGCACAAGGTCATAAAAGTGCAAGGGACACCTTAAACATTTTCAGGTGGTAGGACATTTTAAATTTTCCCCTTGTAACAGAATGAAAAATGTACTGGGAAATAATTTTGGCAGATATGGATGATTACATATTAGTTGTCCAGAATAAACTAAAATTGCTTTATTGTAATAATAACAAATAGATAGATAGATAGATAGATAGATAGATAGATAGATAGATAGATAGATAGATA